CTGAAGAAAATTGGCCACCCTAAGTTAAGGGACTACTTGATCAAAAATGTACCAAATGCTGAATGTTTCCCAAGTGCAGACAAGCTTCGCCAGAACTATGTCCCCGCAGTGATTGCTTTGCACATACAATCCAAAAAATCTGAAATGTATGAATTGGCAGTGTATGAATCCATCTCCATTGTGGCCGATGAAGCCACCAGCCTTCAAAATAATTATGTCTTGCGCATTTTATTTGTACCTGAGAGCTGGACAGACCGGGACCTGCCTGCTTTTCAGACAGAGGCGGTCCAGCTCACATCTGTCAATTCTTGTACCGTGGCTTAGGCTGCAGTGAAGGCTGTTGTTGACTGCAGCTTAGAATTTAACAAGATTTCAGCATTTCTGTCCAGCAGTGCCACGTATATGTGGAAGGCTTTCTCTGATGTGCTCCATGGACAGATGCCCAGTGCAATTCATGTCACCTGCAATGTGCATGTTCTGTCTTTGGTAAGTGACATGTGGCATATGCAGTTCCCTGATGTGGATAGCCTGGTTTCCTCCTTCAAGAAAGCCTTCAAGCACTGTCCAGGCTGTAAGCTCCAGTACAAGGAGTCCCTTGCCTGTCAAAGTGGAGACTCACGTGCGACTGTGCCACTGCCATGAGAGCCTGTGCTCACAAGATGGAATTTGTGGTTCAACGCGGTCCATTACCACACCGAGAATATGCAGTACTACCAGTAGTTTGTATCTGAGGAGCTAGAAATCACACCTGGCACACAGTATATGCTTAAGCTACGTGATCTGGAGCAAGGAGACATTCAAAATCAAGTGAAGTTTGTGGCAGAAAATGCCACCTGGTTCATGGAGCTTCTAACGTGGTTTGAAGGCTGGCAGGCTGCGATCCACCATGCACATAAGCTGATGGATTTGATAAACTGGATTGAAGATATGGCATCACAAGAATTATCAATCTGTCCTCATGAAAACCAGTGGAGAAGGGACCTGTTCCAGGCAATAACTGCAAAATTAAACCAGTACTACAAGTACAACCCATCACTACCACCACAGCTCAAACAACCAGCTGCCTCCTTCCTTAGTGCCATTCACATTTTTTACCCCAGTCAGGCACCTTTGCTGAGTTTGATTTCAGCAGCTGAAGGTCAAATCCCTGGATGGCAGAAAGAGCATGACAAGCAATGTTGTGCTGCTTACATTAACTTTGTCAAAGAGCGCCAGGTGCCTGTGACTGTGTTTTGGGAGTCTGTTTTTGATCGGTTTCCACATCCGTATGCCCTGGCAAAAAGCTGCCGCACCATTCCAACCAGCTCAGTGGATTCTGAAGGTGCAATCTCAATGTATGGACAAGTGTTCACCCCACAGAGACAGAGGATGTCAACGGCAACTTCCGGTGGATGCTCCATGCTAGCGTTTAACAGCTAACATGAATTGCCTATCTCAGGGTTAGCACTGAGTATTGCCAAACTCCTTTTCACAACATTAATAATAAATCATGGTGATGGTATTGGTTACAATTCATGGTGTGTTTAGCTTTAATTTCATAAGGCATTTCAGTTCAGAGTTTAATTAAATGCTTAAGTAATCTAACACATCAGTTAATGGCTCCTGCAGGCTTATAAGGATAATTATGCCATGGTTTTCGCCCCTTGGCCAATCAGTGGTGTGGGGCGGGACTGCCGGGGCCCCTCAGTCAATCAGCAGTGGGAGGTCCCACCGTGAAAAGACCAGGAAAATGGTGACCAGCGTTGCAATCCAGATGCAAATTTTGGACTCTTCAGCCATGATGTAGGTAGATCCCTACTTGTTCGAGAGAGGGCACATAAAGGAACCAGTGCTACAACTGCTGACAGCCCACTGACTGCAGCCAACCTGGTTGCTGCTGCTGCTGCTGCCTCTGCCAGCACTGCCTCCCAGGGCACATATGGCTGTTAAGTCTCTCAGTCCCCCCCACACAGATGAGGCATGGGTTTGGGACGGAACCACTGGGAATCTGGGCCTGAAATTCACGAGAGAACATTTGCACAGTGCACTGACCCACCCCTCCACCCACAGCATTGGGAACGCTTGGTATTGGACCTTTTCTAGGGTATCCAGCTGCCAAGGCCCAGCCCTGAACTGGGACACTTTCCAGCCAAGTGAAGTAAGAACCTAAGTATTGCCACAGACTGGGTCAGATCAGTGGTCCATCTTGCCTGGTCTCCTGTGTCACACGTGGTAGAGAGCAGATGCTGAAAGGGATAGTGAACTGGTTCTGAGCAGGGTTTTTCCCACTGTTTATCTCCCATTTGCAGTATCCAGCATTTAATCTAGGAAGTTCTGATTCAGAGGCATGCCCCTCACCCCTGTGCTCAATAGCTACTGATGCCCCTTTCCTCCAAGAATGTGTCTAGTCCCTCATTTGGACCCTGGCTGAATGGTCAGCTTCCACCACATCTGGGTGGCAACTAGTTCCACCCTTTAATTACATGCTGGGTGGAAATAATAGTGCTTGAAGTGCTTTCCCTTTCCCAGCAGCACGGAGTAATTTCTGGGTTCCCTTCTCCATCCGGCAGGTACCATGATGGTGAGCAGAGCTGAGGTGCAACTTCCTGAGGCAGGGATTGCAAACCTGGAGGTGATCCCAGTCAGCAACCAACTCCCTATACAATGGGGACAGCGAGCAGCTGTGGAACAAAAGAGCCCTGCATGCAGGGAAGGCTTCAAGGGGCAGAGAGCCTCAAAGACCCGCAAGGGCATCACTCACAGGACAGATGTGTTATATATATGTGGAGAATGTGGTGAGAGCTTCTGGGGCCAAGAAGAACTCAGGGCGCACAAACGGACCCACAGCAGGGAGGTGGTCCACCCCAGTGTTGAGCGCTTCCAATACAAGCACCTGAGATCACCCTCAGGAAAGTTACCCCACCTTTGTCATGACTGCGGAAAGAGCTTCAACAACCCGACCCACCTCCGCGTGCACCAACGCATCCATACTGGGGAGAAACCATACCAGTGTGGGGAGTGTGGAAAGAGCTTTCACCAGCTGTCCCATCTCCAAGTGCACCAGCGCATCCACACTGGGGAGAAGCCATATGGCTGCGGCCAGTGTGGGAAGAGCTTCCGGCACGTGTCTGCTCTCACTCAGCACCAGCTCATCCACAGTGGGGAGAAGCCCTATGGCTGCCCAGACTGTGGGAAGAGCTTCAATCACCCATCTCATCTCCGTGTCCACCAGCGCCTCCACACCGGGGAGAAGCCACATCACTGCACTCACTGTGGGAAGAGCTTCAGCGACCCATCTTACTTCCGTGTTCACCTGCGCATCCACACAGGGGAGAAACCATACCAATGTGTGGAGTGCACGATGAGCTTTGCCCGCCCAGACCTCCTCCGCATCCACCAGCGCGTGCATACAGGGGAGAAGCCGTATCAGTGCACCGAATGTGGGAAGAGCTTCCGGCAGAGTACATCTCTCACCCAACACCAGCGAACCCACACCGGGGAGAAGCCATTTCACTGTGGGCACTGTGGGAAGAGCTTCAGCCACTCCTCTCATCTCCATGTCCACGAACGCCTTCACACTGGCGAGAAACCACACCATTGCGGGGACTGTGGGAAGAGCTTTAAAGACCAGTCCCACCTGCGTGTCCATCAGCGCATCCACACAGGGGAGAAGCCATACCACTGCCCGGAGTGTGGGAAGAGCTTCCGGCAGAGCTCTGCTCTCACCCAGCATCAGCGTATCCACAGTGGGGAGAAACCATTTCACTGCACACAGTGTGGAAAGAGCTTTGATTACCCATCCAAGCTCCAGCTCCACCAGCGCCTCCACACGGGGGAGAGGCCACACCCTTGTGCAGAGTGCGAGAAGAGTTTCCACAACCTGTCCGACCTCCGAGCCCATCAGCACGTGCACACGGGGGAGAAGCCACACCACTGTGGGGAGTGTGGGAAGGGCTTTACCCGCCTGTCCCACTTGCGAGCCCACCAGCACATCCACACAGGGGAGAAGCCATATGGCTGTGCCCAGTGTGGGAAGAGCTTCCGGCAGAGCACATCGCTCACCCAGCACCAGCGTCTGCACACCGGAGAGAAACCATTTCACTGCGAGGACTGTGGGAAGAGCTTTAAAGACCCATCCCACCTGCACGTCCATCAGCGCATCCATACTGGGGAGAAGCCATTTCACTGCACGCAGTGTGGGAAAAGCTTCCGGCAGAGCTCTGTTCTCACCAAGCATCAGCGCACCCACAGGCTAGAACCTAACAACTGACATGGGATAGTGTCTCCAGCTACAGCTTGTTGTCCTCTCCAGCCTGTGACTTGAAGTGGAAAAGGGAGAGAGTCCAGCACCTTTCTGAAATGTCCCCATACACTAGTCACTGGGCTTGCATGGCCCTGGGGATGGGAGCGTTCTGGAAATCTCCTAAACAGTCTGTACTGGGGGTTACAGGCTACAACTGGAAGAGAGGGGACAAGTGGGCTCAGGGCTGCACTGCAGGGGTCCTGGTGTTCCCTTGGTCAATTTGTTGCCCAGATTTAATGTTAAAATTTAGGCGGTGGCACTGAAGTGGTAAAAGTGGGCTTGGACAAGAACAGTCTGTTTTCTGAAGAGGTTATTTATTGAGTACAGCAAGTTACAATTAAGCTTAAAGCCAGGAAACAGCAGAAACTTTGCAGAAGTCTTATGTCGTCCCAAGAACAGTGTGTCTCCCTGCAGCTGGCCAGGCATTTCTAAATGCTTCCAGGGTCTGCAGTCTTTCTTTTTTGATAGGTGGGGTGGGGGTCCACATTTTTCATTTTTGCTTCTTTTATGGGTGGTCTGTACCCTGTCTTTCTCTTGGTTGCCTTGACAACAGCATGTCTTCTGCTTTTTGCCTATCTCCAGATGGTTTTTCTGCCTTTTTATAGGCGTTTTTTCTGTGTTTTCTAGTTCTTGTTGCTTTTCTGCTTATATATGGTGCTGTTTACCAAGTGCCTACTGTTTACTTAAGCAGGTCAATTCTGTTGCAGTCCCTTGCTTACTTAAGTTACGCACAGATTACATTCAGTGCACATGCACGTTATTCTTAGCATTTTTTCTTATAGAATTGGTTACAGAGCCCAAAACAGTTTCATTTTGCCATGCCATCTGCCATCAAGTTGTCCATGTTGCAGTATCCGGGGGTACTCCTTCCAGCCCCACTGCTACAGGTTTGGATGAGAGCAAACAAAACAGACTTAATCACTGCCACTTAGCTAATAGAATCTCTGACGTAGTTGTGAGCATAGTAGCACTAAATTACTTTTTTTCTGCCATAGCCTTTTGCTTTGTGGTTTTTACCCTGGTCTATTCGTTCTTCTTTGTGGAAGTATTTTGGGTGCCATTAAAGTGCAGGTTTGTCTTTTTCATCCAATTCACTTGACCATAAGGTGGGATCATAGGCACAGGGGAGAAGGCACTAGGACAGCTGCGTTCAGGACAGAGCAAGAGAGGCAGGAAACTGCCCTACAGTAACTGTGTTTTTGGAAGAGAGTGAGCATTTCTCCAGCCAACACTCTTCCAGGAGAAAGCTAAGCTTCCTCAGACTTGTCTCTTCCGCTCTCCCAGAACAGAAAATATTCAACTTAATCCATCAGGAGTGGAGGCGATTACTATCTAGTATAGTCTAGACAATGGCTGAAACAAAGCACAGTCTGAATGCTATATGGAGAGGTCTCACAGGGCAGGATGGGAAAGGATGACAATCGGGTCACAGAACAAGGGTAAACTGAGGTCCCTCCAGTGTTCACCAGGGTTGAAAGGTATGGTCCCAGCTGCTGAGTAGATGACACTGATCTTCCCAGCCAGATCAACATATGTGTGCATTTTACTTAAAGTAAAGACTATGGGAATTGATAACTCAGGGGCTGGGAGATTGGGCAGGACACACTTAGACCCCATGCCTCTTGGGCCCCACCACGTGTCAGGCCGATAAGCCCCAGAGGGAGCCAGGATCCCTATTTCTGGGTGGAAACAAGCCCCTCATGGTAATCCTGCTCTCTGCAGGATGGCAAGTCTTCCTGACTCTTCACCTTTTGTCTCTGAGGAAAAAAAGAGTCCTCAAGCTGGGGAGAATGTGGCAGCTGTGTTTGTCTCTGTCCAGCACAGTCATGCTGAGCAGTCTAATTTTCCCAGTGTGGAGGGAGTGGTCACTGGACAAGGTTGGCAGCAGTTGTTGTTCTGGGTCAGAATCTGGCACCCTGGCGGGAGGTATTTAATGGAGAAGGATTAATTTTCAGGTCACTGCTCGCAGGTGTGCGGGCCGGGAGCGGTCTGAGGCCTTCGGGGGCGCACGGCGGGCTGTGGCCAGAAGCCCTGGCACGCGGGTCGGGGAATGCAGGCCGGCGGACTAGAATTAGGCACAGACGTGTAGCGGTTGATTAAAGATTATTTTACTTACACCGTAGATGGTCACGGTGCAGGCAGGAAAAACTTGCTTGCATTGCAGTTACAGACAGACACGTGGAGTTTGCTAGGCTCCACAACACAAACTCGAACAAGACCCGCAGAAAACTCGAGCCTCTTGAAATAACTCGGACAGACCTCTGGATATACACACACACGAAGCTTGCTAGGCTCCATGGAACAAGCGCACAGGGAAGGGGTTAGTCGAGGGATCGCTCGGTGACGGGGAGAGGCCAGAGGTTGATCAGACCCCTATAGCCTTCTTAAGGCACACGCTGGGTCTGTTAGGCTCCGCAGTGCTTAGAGTTCTTCATGAGACGTGAAGTCCTCCTCCTCCACGAGATGGTTGTGGAGTCCTCCAACTTGGGCGGAAACCGCTCAAGCCTCTTATACGGCTAGCAAGCCAATCGCTAGCCCCCCCCCGGGGATAATTTAGCTAGCCGCCACGTGGGAATAATTTAGAACTGGCCAATAGTGGGACACACATTTGCATGCGGGTGGCGGGAACTCCTTTGCACCGGGGTTTTCTCTTTGCAACTGAGAAATGCACCCTGCAAAGAAAGCTCCTCGTGGCAGGAAATAATTTAGCAGTGCCGAAGCGCACGCACACAAAATCACACCCTTGGGTTGTGACAGCAGGCAGGGTTTTCTCCCCGTCAGTCCCTTCCAGGAAAGACTCGGATCACCTGCACTACAGGGTTTCTGCTGGTGCAGCGATGGTAGCAGCACCTGCTCATGTGGACACAACCTTTATGTTGACAAAGGGAGTATCTGCACCACTTCTCTGGATGATGGAGATTGAATTGAGCAAATGCCCACAGAACTCTGTATACCAGGGGCTTTAATGGAGCCCCTGTGTCAGCTGACGGGTGGGAAGTTTCTCACCTTACCCAGTATAAAATCCTGATGTCCCCCAACACCTCCTTGAGCCACCTTAGCTTCTGTATTCCTCCCATAGCATGCCAGACCATAATCTCCCACTGCCCAGCACTCCAGCGGCTGTGTTATAGCCCTTATCTCTTGGCTGACCTGAACGGGGAAAAGCAGTCTGTCCTGGCCTGGATGGAGGTTTTATGAAATACAAGGGGTGGGTTGGGATAGAGAGTCTAATGGGGAGATTGGTAGGGGGCAGGGAGTAGAGAGTTAAGGGACTGCCAGAGGCATAGTGTTTGCAGTGATGGAAGTTTGTAGCGGTGTAACAGGGTTGCAGTGAGAGGGAGTAGAGCCTTATGGGTAATAATAGGGATATGAGGATTAGGCAAAACATTCCCTTCTTTCATGACATTTCTAAACTGGCCTCCCTTACTGCTTTACTTATCTGTGCCCTCCAGCACAGACTTTTCTTAACCACCTTTGTTCTTCGGGAAACATTTTCCCTGTGTCTCCTTGCTTGGCCAGTGTGACGAGCGTCCTGTTGTGGAGAATTCGTCTCGGTCTCAGTTATGGGCTCAATTTTGTCTGTACCCAGAGGAGAAGCCGAGCAGGATTCTGTCCTAGACCTCGGGGCACAGGACCCTGCAAAGAGGGAAGAACGCAGGGCCCGTTCTCATTTGGTGAAGGAAACTGGCACCTCTGTCCCCAGGAGGGGCTGCAACAGGGGGACATGGAGTCACCCTGACTGAAGAGTGTGCTGGGCTGAGGGGAGATACTGTTGGCCTAAAATTACCCCTCCTCTAATCACAGCTGTTTCTGCCCCATTCTTGGCCCCACAGCCCCTCCAAATGTCCCACCCCACAACCTGGGGCAGAACCAGAGCATTCCCTGGTGGGTTCCCCAGCCCAAGGACAGCCTTTCCATCCCCCTCAGGGGCTGAGCTGCCTGGGGAGAAAAACTCGAATCAGTGAGGCAGATGGAGCCCTCCCCACTCCCGGAGCAGCGGCTGTAGTAGGTGGTGAGTGCAGCTCCCTGGGGGCTGAGAGAAAGGAGCTTTTTCCCTTCACCCTATTGCCCCACCGGTGACAGGACAAACAGCCCCAGCTCCCCTGTTGCACAAATGACCAATTAGCTCAAATGATGAGCGAGACATTATGAGGGGGATAAGGCAAAATGCCGTGTTTATTGATTATAATATTCAAAAGAGCACTTATGCATACACACACACACTCGCTCTCAAATACTCTGCAGATGTTATAGTTACCAAAGTTTGTTGCTCGAATACTATATGCTAAGTGGCCAGCCTGGCTAGTATGAGGTCAGGAACAGGGGATACAGATGCGCCTGTGTTCCAGTGAAGTTTGCAGAGCGTTACCCCACCTCCCGCTGCAGAGCCAACCCGAGCAGGGTGCGGGGCCCGGGGCAAATCAGCCCATGTGGGGCCCCGGCCCCACTCCAATCGCACAGGCCCTGGACCCAAAGAAGCTGCTGCTGGCGGTATCAGCGGCAAGGGGGCAGTGAGTGGCTGGATGCAGAGCTACTGCTCCGCCCAGTTCTGCGCCACCGCTGCTCTGCCCAGCTCCGTGGGGCCCCTCAAAGCACGGGGTCCGGGGCGGTCACCCTGATTCGCACCCCCCCCAGGGATGGCCCTGTCTTGCTGCTAAGTCTCTCTCCTTTATAGGGGTTATCAAGTTGGTGTTGGATGACTGGTCTGCCTTTTCTGATTCTGTAGTTCCTTTGTCTGAAATCTCAGTACTTGTCCACCCTGACAGACAGTTAGGCCTATGCATCGTCTTTAGGTGTTGCTCTTCAATCACTGTTTTACAACATCCTTCTGTTATCACTGGTGTGGGCTGTGGCCAGAGTCTCTAGCTTTGAGATACTGTACACCTTGTCTTCAGTCTTCTTTTCTGTTTACCTTTATTCTTTGCCTGGTACAGACCGGATTCTTCAGCCACTTGAACATGATTCACCATTTGGTAACTTGTTTGCTGACATACAGCTTACTCTGCTTTTACCATTCACTCTTCATTCATTCATCCATACATCCAAATATATATAAAGACACAATAACAAACTTAATTAGTTATAGCAACTTAAAATCACTATATTAAAACATAAAATATAATGACTGCTATACTTATGCTAAACATTATTGATTTATACTAAAGCTTAATTAAAACTAAATATTATTAAAATAAAACAAATGCAGATTAGTTTAAAAACAAATAAACCAATGCTGGTGCAACACTCCCCACCCCCTGCCATGGACTAAGGGGATCAAGTCCCCCCAGACCAGGGCTGTGCAGCCCCAGCCCCCAAGGGCTGAGAAGGGGGCAGGGGGCAGGCTGGGGCAACTGCACCTCTGGAAGGGACCATTGCTGGGGCTGGAAGGGTTCAGTTCCAGCCCCAGGGAAGCCTGTCTGGGGTATTATTTTCTCCTCTATGTATATTTTAAAGCTTTATTCCCCCACATGGCTGCCCTCATTTCAGGCTTAAGTTTATTCACACCTTGGGGATAATTTTCAACTCGTTGGCTTCCTCATGAATGAAATGGGTTCCTCTGGCCCAGGAGGCACTTGGCTATTTACATTCATTTTAGGAAAGGGGAACATGGGCTGCGGGGTGGGGCACCAGGGGAAATGGCTCCCATGTGAACTAAACCAGGGCATCCTTGTGTGTATGTCACAGGCCTGAGGGCGCTGTCAGGACCAGAGCTTGAAAAGCCCAGGTTTTTCCTCCCTGTGCCCCTCGCTTAGGACAGCTGAGGGAATCTTAGAGAAGTGGGGCAGAAAGGTATCTCCAGAGGTCCTGTCCACTCCAACCCCATGCCTGAGCGGGGATCAGTCCTGTCCAAACTATCCACTGCAGACCCATCACCTAAACTCTAAACTTCCAATACTGTGCCTCTTAGAAGCTCCCAGCCCTCCTGAGCACATCTTTATATAAAAGGAGAATTGGTAATCAGGGGAACTTTGTAGTGGCTATGGGGAGCCTGCATGGTGTTGTGCGGATTACGTTGTCACAGGTACAAATGCTTTAACTCCTGGTCTGACATACTTGTTAGGCCATGTTAAGGGCTGTGTTTGTA